TGTATGACATGTTTTGTCGATGCAAATTAAAATCAGTTTCGACTTTATCGACTTTGCCCCTGCACTCTTGAAAACCAGACTGGTATATCGGCCAATTTCCTACAGCTGTGCTATGCATTATAACGAGCCACTTTAAGGAGATCAAGTGACACTTCCTTCCGTGTTCATGTCATACAGGGAGAATGGCGTCGTTTTAAAAGCCTTCAAAAATTGAGAAAAGAGGGTATCACGATGCCCTGTCATCCTATTAATCTTATCCAGATAATACATTCAAACTGGCTTTTTTGCCATAAAACCTACCTGAAATAAAAACTGTTCACATTTAAAGTGTGTTTATTTTTTTCAGTTAATTGGAGGACGGGGAATTTGCCGATGATTACAAAATATCTTAAGGGGTAATATTTCCCATTCCTAATCGTCATTTAAGTCGGAAGCATTGACATGGATGATTATTCAGCCGTTCACGAAGCCACTCAGTGCCTGAGCAAAAATCAATTTAAAATAAGTACGTATCCTCCTTAAAGGTATAATCTACACATTTGGGGGCCGTAATAGAATATTCACATGCAAAACATGTTTAGGATATTGGACACGAATAAAAACAAGCACTAAGTGAAACATTTCTCTAAGATAATACCGTTCGTAGGCAAGTCTGGATATTTACTAATTGTGTTTGTAAACCGCAAACAATCTACTTTTCCAACACACTCAACGGTGATTGTTTTCCCTACAACTTTAAAGTAAGCATTGAAAAGAAATAGCTGTAAGCAAAATTTGAAAATATTTTCTTTTTCTTTTATTATGGAATGCACTCCCAGACTCAATAAAATCATGTAAAACCTTTAATTAATTTTAATCTAATACGAAGAAAACATTTCTGTCAGATTAAATTGTTTTGTGTTTTTCCCAGCTCTGAATTAATATTCAATAATTATTATTTCCAGATTAAACATCCATCACTATATTTATAACTCCGGTATGTTTATATAAGTTGTATGTGTCAAACATATTCACATCAGCATACTTCCATTTTCACCATCATCATTATCATCATCGTTATCATCAACATCATCACCATCACAAGTTTATTTTATTTATTTTGTATCATCTCTCTCTCTCTCTCTCTCTCTCTCTCTCTCTCTCTCTCTCTTTCCGGTATCTTTATCTTTCTACCCCCTCATTTGTTGTTCTGCCTCACCTCTCGGTATTCCTCCTCAATTTGAGAATTTGTGATGTGATTATACATTCTTGATATATATTGGTTTGAATGACTCCACATCTTCTTTAGATGTAAATTATGTGAAGGTGATAAAATGATTGACTCAAGACTATATTCATGTTATTTCTGATATTTAAAGTGAAAAGTCACTCTTTTTTAATTCTTGTTTCAAGCCTGTGATGGTACATTTTGCATGACGCCATTGTTGAATATTTTGCTTTCTTGCTAATTGCGTTTTGCACTTTTGAACCACACCCACACTCTCTCTCTCTCTCTCTCTCTCTCTCTCTCTCTTCTTCCTTCTCTCTCTCTCTCTCTCTCTTCTTATTCCTTCTCTCTCGCTCTTATATTACACTTCTTTAGCTTTCCCTTGTGCCTGTATACAGACTTCACTTCATAACACACAAGGAAACGTACTGATACAAACATGAACGTTCATTTATGTTGGTAATACGTACGTTGTAGGTGAAAATGTTGTAGTAAGTATTTTGTATTGAGTTCGAAAGTTTAACTTTCAAACATACTTACTGATACTTTTCTAAGCAATTTATTGTTGTTATAGGGGCATTATTTATGTAATTCTATACTTGGTGCATTGTTGTGAGTACATTATTGTTGAGATTTTACCCCAAATACTTTTGTGATATCAGTTTCACCTGCTTGAAAAGTTCCTTTTAAGTGACCTAATATTTTCCTTTCGGAATTTGTCAACAGTTAATTCTTTTTATATACATACAACCCTTTATAAAGCCCAACGATTGATTAAAACAGCTTCAACCATGTTTGTTATTATAACTATTTTTGTTTTTCTCCCTCACCTTTTTCCTCTTAATTTAAAATTCATGTTAAGGGCATACCAATATCGTGTTTCTAAATAGCCTAACAAACTGTATATAGCCTCGTCCTTTTCTCTTTCGAGAAAAAGTAAAACCCGCGGGGTCCTGACTAATTTTATAAAGGACGTGAGATCGATTTCTGAAGAGCATTTTCTTTCCATTAGTACTCCTTGGTCATGTTACATCGACGAGAATACACCTTTATAGCCTTAGGGGTAGTACATGCACGATACATCCCCTTAGTGTATACTGCCATTGAATGTTATATTTACGGTACGGGACATTTACATTTTAATTTGGGGGGCGCAGCCTAAAATATATCACATTTAACATTTTACCGTTTTACTTTCGTTGTTTACCATGTTTTGTCATGGTCAAACTATATTATGCCGGAAACTCCGTCGTTAATTATGACAGCATAAACAAATAAAATAACAGAGGTTGTTTGTTTTCTCATTATTTTCCCCCTAAATAACCTGATGCATAGATATAGTTGATACATTTATTTTCCCAGGGGTTGAGAATGTCCCATCTTTCCTAAATATAGACAATTTTGTTAATTAGTGAGCGAATGAAACATTCAGGTAAACAATGTTTTGTATGGTATCAGGCACTTTTTGTAACCAAATAACTCGTATCATTTTTAAGTAGCTTCTTCATAAAAGGATACCACTCATAACAATTCACCACTCTTTTAGACGAAAATGAGGCGATGGATAGTTGCCCGAATTTAAAAATAATTCTTTGAGGGGGCTCAGCTACCCCCAGCCCCGACTCCTCTTACGCTTATAAAACGCATTATAGTGTTCAGTGTAACGGACGTCTGTAAATATCGATTTCTTTCTTCTTCCTATCTGGTGTATGTTTCAGTGATACTTAACCTAAAATATCAGACCGGCGGGAGGAATAACCTGACAAAGAATGTGTACTATCTGGTAGCGATAAAACAGTATCACTTTCTTTTTATTGTGAAGTAAAATTTACTCAGAGGCGAGTAAATTATGTATGTGCTTAGATAAGAAAGGCGTGATTTATTAACATGACAGTCCCGCTACAACCCTGCTGTTATCATCGGCTAAAGGCAACCAGTGAACACATCTAATAAGTACTTTGTGTATTCATGAGATCTGGTGTCCATTTTCACGTCGCGATATTTTTCACAATAATGGATTTTTGGCCTCCTTCTCATCCTTCCCTCATTCTAGATTCATTTTTAGTTTCAAATTTTCTTTACTGAAACGTTTGACAGCATACATTTAAAAGTAGCAAAACTAAAGTATTTCTATCTCCCTGTCGTTGCTCCAAACTTCATTTACCTCATCATCGTGAAGATGGCAAGAAAGAAAATGCAATTGTTAACTCATGCACATTCCGTAAAACGTCCAAAAATGTGTTTTTTCTGTAAAAATGGAATGCATGCATGAATGGGTGAATGATTGATTGATTGATTAACTGATTGACTGACTGATTGACTGATTCATTGACTGATTGATTGATTGATTGATTGATTGATTGACAGATTGATTGATTGATTGACTGACTGATTGATTGATTGATTGATTGATTGATTGATTGACTGACTGATTGATTGATTGATTGATTGATTGACTGATTGTTGAACAATACTAGTCAGAAGTGCAAAATGGACTTATCTATGATGCTCATAAAAGTACTTTACTGAAGTTCATTTTATGTTTTTATCATAGAAAACTAATGTACCCCCATACCCGCCCACTGGTGATCTCTGAAGACAATTCCTTAACCAAATTATCACACGTTGAAGCGTAATCAATAAAAATGCCTTTTTCATGCACCAATCGCTCCCTCGGGCCTTAATGAAATATGAACAAAATTAATGTTGAAAACGTGTTTTTTTTTTCTTCTCCTGAACGTTCACACATTCATCATTCCTTCATAAAGGAGAACATTTCTTCTGCTCACTTAGTTCTGCTCACTAGAATAGAAAGATGCTGCTCATGGCCCTTCAAAGAGCGTTTCTCCCTTCGAAGAAAGTGCATTGAACGATAAATATAGAGGTGCTTTAAATCGTGAGCAAGGGCCAACTGAATGCATCGTCATTTTGCCTCTCCAATAATGGATTCATTCTGAACGAAAGTTCTTTAGATCGTCATGCGTCCTCGAAATATCTATCAATGCATATTCATAAGAGAAAACGGAAAACAATTTAAGTGGCCGCGAAGTCAACCCATTCTCAGCTCATTCTCTCATCAACAAAATGGGTCACACTTTGATACGAGAAGAAGTTGGCTGATTTGGTGTGGGAACGGTATCAATCATATATTTTTGTCGCGTTTGAATCGGTCAATTTAACTTCTAAAGCAGTTCATTGATGTCATGTAGCATCCAACAGTAGAGTGATAATGGTACGGCTTTTGGTGCCAATGTCATTTCATTTCATTTCAGAGTAGTAGACTTGCCTCGAGTCAAAGCTTTCCAACTGTTTTTTTTAATCAAAAGGATAAATTCTCGATTTCCTCTTGCTACAAACGGTTGATTACTTTTTTCAAACATACCGATATGTTTCTAGTTCACTGTATATCACATCACATAGAGGAAGCTGCATATTTTCAGATCACCAATACTATACAGATGTAAATGTTGTTCGTGTTTAGATATAGTATTAGTTTATCGAACGCAATCAGAAAGGTTGCTTCAAGTGATCAGAAGGATTTAATGGGCCTAAATTTATTTTTATCAGCTTTATATCGTTCAATCGAAAAGGAAATGAATGGACATTCATTCTCAATAATTTTGTTAATGTAATTATGTAATCATAAGACTTCTATTGGTCAAATAAAGCATTTGAGATATGACCAGGGCCGTTGTCTCTTGATGTATTTATCTTGCCAAGCAATCCTTACTGTTTTACTGATATGACCTGGATGATTGACTCCATACAAAATCAAAGACATAAATCCATTAGGTGCAATAGAACACAATTAAGATAAAATCCTTCTTTTAATATACAGATACATTTGACATAAGAGCTCAATTGTACACATGAAAGAACTTTTGCACAATGAAACATCGAAATTAGCTTGTGAACATAGTACTATCAAACTGTGTTACATGTTAAGCAATTGTCTTCGGAAACATGAAACAATTACCCTTTTCAGCATGTGTGTTCAAACGTATCAAATTTTAAAGAAATTTCTACTGATACTCAATCACATATGTTTGAAGTTTTAGAAATGCATAAATGAAAATTACTTGCCTAACGCAACGTTTATACATTGTTGAACTTTTCGGTTTGATTCGTTACTACCAAATTTCATCATGTCAGCATTGAGCTCATGAACGCAGATGGCAGGTGTGACACCAACGCAAACCAGTAATCTTTTCGTGATCAGTGTTTTCTGATGAAATACGATCAGTATATATACGGCTTACCTGTTTATCCAGAAATCATTTGTCATTTACTGGAGGGACATTTTTTAGTACTGAAGAATTCCAAAACACATTGAAGTAATTATTTACAACAAAAAAAGCAAATTTTCAATATCTTGATTAAATGACAGAATAGGAGTGGTAAAAAAAGTGATTATCATTATCAACCACTTTCTTTAATTCAACTATATACTAATTTACCTGTTTACTAAAACAGTAAATAAGAAAACTACCTTGAAATTTCTTTTTATCAGTATGAACAACATTCAAGTAGGCCTAAACCAATTGAGAAACAGAGCGCAGTTTTAATATTTACAGACTTACACGGACTATACAAAGAATGGACGTATAACAATCAAAGCCAGGTTCAATTCTTCAAATGCAAATTTAGAAAGGCCAAAAATTAAAAAAGAAATACCGCATGATTAAAACCTAATTTACATCACCTTTACTCTATCTCTATTCTCTCGTCTCATTTTACTCTCAGACTAATACGCTTTACAACTAGGATCCACAACCCATTCGAAAGGCATTACTGACATGAGTATATAAAACCATCTTAATACCCGTCTTACCCAATGTATACTTTGTTTAAACAGTAACTTAAACTACCCATTCACCAATGATGTACATACAATGATTTTTTAAGTGAACCGAATGTTGATGGAAGCAAAATAAAAAGCTTGACACTTACTAGCTGAACTTAGAAAACTGCAGAGATTAGACAACTGATTGTTTGTTTGTATACAGTGTATATTACTGACTGAATTGATATGCTTTAGGAATTTGAAGATTGTAACATCTTTTCTCTAAATCAAAAAGACTGAATAAGAATGCAATGTCATACAAGCTTTAAAAGAAAACACATACTCTAAATGAGTCAACAAAGATTTAGAAGGATACTTCTTTCTATATCACAGTACTGGGCCCCGTCTTACAAAGAGTTGCGATTGATCCAAATCAATCGCAAGTTTGTAGTCTCCTATCTCTTATGTAAATAGTTGCGATTGATATCAACTCTTTGTAAGACGGGGCCCAGATATATACTTTTCCAAGGTTTGAATATGCGTCTTCGTGCTACGTGCTTAAATTGAAATTGATAATACATGCCTTTAGATCCTAGAAAATGTAGTCAAGGGGGTGGAGCCAATTCATCGCTGTTTTTAACTCTATGACTTTCACACATCACATGAGAAATCTGGATCTAACCTCGAGCCTTCAGAATAATGAGTATAAACTTAGTGACTGGCTTTTTAACAAAGGAAATATAAGCTTGATAGATGATGTTGATGTGTATAAGAAAATACGTGTAATACAATATTCAATTGATATCCTAGTGTAAATTTTGTCCTCACCGATAAATGCAATATTTATTCTAAATGGATACCACAAGATTGTTGAATCTTCCGAGAGAATACAAAATCATTGCTAGGTCTACCAGCGACAAACCTCTGAATAGTTATAGGCCTATATGTTTAAAGAATTGAGAGATAACTTTGTTCGATGAGTCGTAATCTGGCTGTAGGCTACCAATCGCTGTAGCCCTTAGTTGCATGTGCACGTTAGTGATGTCCATGTTAGAACAAAGTGCTGAGAACAAAGTGATACCATTCATGTGTTAAGGTGAGAAACAACAAATGCGAGAATTTAAGACTGTTTGGTAAGGACATCTGCTTCCGACCTGGACACATTATCTGTATAGTCGTTGTAGATGAAAGTCTACCAAGTCCAGTGCATCACATGATGTTGGTTCGCTTACCAGTCAGCTGTACCCTATAGCCCTCTACATCAGCTCTTAACGTTATACGATCCTTGATCGGTGGAGTTTCATTCTGCCACCTTTATTGGACGTGAATAATCAAACTATTAGAACTCAATACGGCGGATTTTGTTTTTCAACCTATCGACCTACTATTTAACGAACTAGAACTGTTCATGGGCGGTACTCACTACTTCATTTCGGCTGGAGTCAAGACGTACAAAGTGAATGTAAAGAAACTTGAAACTCGTTTCGTGTGACGCGTAAAAGCATTACTTTCGCTACCTTTCTTTTCCTGTAAAGGCATCCAACTCCTGACGGGGTGTGGGGGAAATGTCGGAGGTTGTGAGGGGGTGAGGTCTTCGAAGGAGGTCTTGGAGAAGGGGTGCACGTTATACTCTCTGACACCTGTGATTGGTAGAGCAATGAAACGTCCTGTTGCAGCCATGACAATCGGCGTTGCTAGAGCACGAACGCCCTTCAATACTACTGTCGCATCCCTAGATGATGAGAAGGGAGAAAGAGGAGAAGAGGGGAAAGGGGAGAACATTAGATAAGATCAGATAACATTAAATTATTAATTTGAGAGGAAAGAGTCTGTAAGAGCTTTTTATATGTTACAAGATGTTAGATTCAACAGGTATAGCATGTGTCATTCATTATTGATGACAACTTCCAGAATTAAGATAAGCTTTTAGATTTAAATAAAAGTGGATTTAAAGAGAGCTTCTTAAAAAATTATATCTAGAAGATATATAAACAATCCATGATATTGTTTAAATATAAAAATCCAATCTGCTAAATTTTCTCAAAAGAGACATTGAAATTTCATTTTCATTTTTTAAGAGAGCTTTGAACTTTTTCGTCATGGTCGTAGAGCATCACACTTTTTCTTCTTCATACAATGAGCTCAAATTAATAGTAGTAGCTTCTTTTTTTTTTAATACAAGGCCTTTATTTTCATTCCATTTTCTTCTTGGGAAACCTTCTCTGAATGTTGGTATATTGGCGTGAGGAATAATATTCGAAACAAAAGGTCCGTTCCATACTTATTCATGAAAACTTTTACACAGGTGACTTTGAGATGCACGATTTGCTACCATGGGGATATCCATTTAATGCCAAAGTGATATATATTTTGGTATAATCTTCCACTTACTCTTTTCCTGTCCCTGAATAATCCCCACATATCTGCGAAGGCCGCTGATGACGATGATGATTCTGTGTCGACTGGTTCCTGGTCACGTACAGGTTCAGGGTAGGGAACAAAAGACATAAACCAACCATCGGAGGTGTCTTCAGCAGTATCATCAGAGCTGGATACGAAGGTTCCAAACGCGTCTGGTCCCAGGGACTCGTCAATGACGTGTGGCGCTTGTCCAGGAACAATGTGAATGGCTTTGCTGGTTCCCCCTGCTGTTCTGCTGTTTCCTCCAAAACCTTCATCTTCTTCTGCTGGGGCATGATGAACAGGTTTGAAAGCACCCCATGCTCCGAACCCGCTGTCTTCCACTGTCTTGGTCCCTGTAGCTTTGATAGGTCCTCCAAAGACTCCATCTGGGCCTACATCTTTAACCGGATGCGTGGTCCCATGAGGAACCCAAGGAACAAAGCCTTCCACGTCTAGGCTAGCAGGTTCAGGGACGGGAGCTTCCACGACGGGACCAAACGCACCCTCATCAGTATGGCTCTCAACCGGCGCCACAGGATTAAAAGCACCCCATGTTGGTTTATGATGCCGGTTGCTTGGTTGCTTCTGCACTGGTGGTAGAGGGAAGGGTAGGATCTCTCGGGCGGACTTATGGGAACCAAAAGCTAGCTCGCGTAAAGAAGCGGGGTTAAGTGGATGCATGATGGCATTTTTGTTAGCGTTTGAGTGGTGTTGACGATGCTTGAAAGGCGATGCGGTATGTTTCTTGGGATGAAGGGGACGAGATTCTACCGTGGAGAAGCTACACTGCCAGAGTAAGACCACGCTCAGAAGGATTAATGTCCTTGGTACAGCTTCCATTGTGATGATGTTCATACTCGCGTAACAGGATCTAGTTCATACAAGTAAGTTGACTCTCAAACGATTATTGTGTCCCCTCCTTCTTGTCTGCCTCTTCACGAACCTGCATAGATGTAAATAAACAAATTGAATACCTATATTAAGAAAATGAAACATCAAACAATATTAAATAATCGAGAGCTGTCTAGATAAAGAAAGAAGCACAGTGTAACGCCGTATGAAGCATACAATGCCATCATAATTGCTGCAAATATATGGGTGTAATTCCCTCGTCCTTAGTTATGTTTGTGCATTTGAGATTCAGTCAACACTTTGATTAACGGTTTCAAACTGAAAAACATCGGGGAGAAAGTGACGAGATTTCATAATAAACGTTCTCTCCTTCTTCACACATTAATTGACGTCGGTGAGGAAACCCCACACTTAATTGTTATCTCAGAGGATGAGAGTGCAGCCATGTTGTGCGTCTGATGAACTTTTTCCTTTTTAGTGAGAGAATGGCTTGAATGTCTTTATTCAACTCTTCAATGTCCACCACAGTATTTACATGTATATTAAACCGAAAAAGAGTATAGTAGAGTAATCTGGGGTCGAATATTTGTGTTTCCGACGCAAATTACAGAAGTAAAAAGAGGTGTATTCATAATTGGCTCTCTGATATCTCTTAATTCAAGTGTCGTACATATAGTATTAACATACGTCGTGTTTGCCACATTGTATTAGAAGATGGTATTGAGTATATCTCCTTTACAACAAATCAATACGTTAACAAACGCAGCCGTCTGTAGCATTTATTACTAATCAGTAGTAAGTGACATCATTTGTTCAGAGGCGCTTCCCTCCAATATACAGTCTTGCACTCGATCAATACTATCACCACGTATTTACTTTTAAAGATGAAGTTGAGTTCTGGTCATGCGACTGCATTGTGAAAGAAACGGTGTGGAACCGACCAGAAAAGGTTGATCATCTAGCATATAAGAATTTGTGTGTATTGCAAGGTTCTGGAATCATCAAAATGATAAGAAATTTGGCCAAGTCTTGGTAAAGTTACAAACGTAATATTACATGCATATTTAGAATATGAAGTCATTTGAAGAGCCATGCTTTTCAGGGAACATGTCTTATCTGATGTTCTTCCACACTTGCATAATAAGAATGAGTAATGCTCACAAATTATTTTTCACCTCTTCCCAGAACTCAACCTTCTCTTTTAAGGTGCAGGAGCGTGACGGCTTTCGTGTTATCTATCAATTTTTGTTAGATTTCTTTATCGATATTTGAAAATGTTAACACAAGATCACTTCTAAACGACTAATAGTAATGGGTTTCAACGTTTAAGGCGTGATGAACTACTTTAATTTTCCTAATTTGTGTTACTCCTTTCAAATCTTGACTTCGTGAATTTTTTTTATACTAAAATTGGAATCTATATTTCAATAACATCATAAAGTTTACATTACTTCTAATTTTATTTCAATATCAACAGGACAAGGTCGTAAAGAAAAAAAAAATCAAAAATGTTTGTCATGGCTTTCTTTGGAAAGGAAGTGGACTTGTTCTCCATTTTAATCCTCATAAATTAAAACAATTTTTATTTAGAAATTGTATACATTCTTTGCCGTTAGCAATGATTAATGCAGACAGATTTTACTTTTGTCAACAGGTCATAAAGATGAAAATATTGGGTATGTTTCATTATCAGAAGTTTAACACCGCTTGAAGTTGTTGGAATATTAATTCTTCATTAAGTGTTGTTTATGACAAACTTGTTTTTCGGTGAAGAAAGCTCTAAGGTATGCTAAGAAAATTACATAATGCGTGGGTGTATACTTTATCTAGATATTGTCTGCAGTGGATCTTTTTATATTACCATAAAGTGCTTCACCGTCCCAAAGGAGTTTCCTCAGAAGCGTTTCTCGTTTAAAAAAATAGAAATCATATTTCCTGTTCTAGAAAAATAATCAATTAACATTAATCTCACTAACCTATTTAAGAATCTCTTCACTCGTTGACCTGATTTGTGACACTTCGTTCTCAATTTGCTTCAAATTGATTAAGTCAGAAATAGAATGATAATATTGAGATTTTGAAATAGTACTTTAATATTAAGGATACATGATAGAAATTTTCTGTTTATTCACCCGCTCTCGTTCCTCAATATATATACGTCATATATGACATATTAAACACTAAAACTAAAAGTATTCAACAAAGGCCCTAATTGAATTAGTTCACCTTTCATTCTGGAGTTACGATAAACATCAATGTACAAGGGGTATGAATAACTTAGTTGTTAATAGTCGCTCAATCAATAGTCTCAATTCAAGCATTTAAACACTTCCTTCAGAGTAACCCCATCAGATGATTTGTTTTACTATGTTTTGATTGTTTTATACGCAACAATTTTATATTTGGTTTTCTCTCTCGCCTCTCTATTCCTTGTTTCTTTCTTTCCCCTATCCTGCACATTTCTGTTTTTCTTAATGTATATATAATGATTTGTTTTTGTTTTGTTTGCTTGTTTATCATTGTAATCATATCTCAAATGTATTTTATCAACAATTTGTATTTTTATCTTGTGGATGGACCCCTTTGAAGACCAGCTTTTAGCTGAAAAGGGTGATCCTTCCCATATGTGGAAAATAAATAAAAAAAAAAAAAAAAAAAAAAAAAAACCGTAGAGCTTTGCCAATCTTATCCAATTTCATATACGCCAACAATATTTTCATAAATCATATAGTTTAATCTATATTACTCATAGATGTTCATATTTTTATGTATGAGACATCCGATGAATACAGGTTCAAATCAACATGGTAATTTTGTACGTGTTCAAATCTGTAGTGCGAACTGTTACTTGGCCCCTCGAAAAGGAAATGGAATACTATTGATAAAGTGATGCATTGCGTAAAGAAGAGAAAGTTGATGAATGCTTGTGCAATATCCGATACAATAAGAGAGATGAACTGAAATAGACAGGAGGCAGGGAATGGATACAAGAATAGAGTAGGTCTTTTACATTATCAACTTATCCTTTCTACTTTCAGGTATAGGTGTAATCTTACAGAAAAAAATTAGGTCTGCGTCATTGGCTCGAAGAGATCATATTATGTTAGCTTCAGTAGACACACTCTGTCTTTTTGTCTGTCTATCTCTGTCTCTGTCTCTCTCTCTCTCTCCCTTCCTCCCTCTCTCTCTCTCTCTCTCTCTCTCTCACACACACGTTCTCTCATGTCCAATTATCTCATAGCACGTGCTATCATCATCTATCTCTATCTCTACCCGGTAGATTATGTTGAATGTCATGGCAAAAGTCACAAAAATACATACAGTGAGATGGATTTGTCGATAAGCGTTTTCGTACATACAAAATGATATTACTTTATGGTTTGCAGAGTATAAACACTAAAAAGGAAAATAAGCGCTAATTGTGACGACCAGGGTTATATTTAATGTTAATTTCAAATATTTTCACTACTTTAGAATAATCTTTTATTGATAATGTGGAATTGTGTAATATCTTTCTGATTAAAAAAGAAATTAAAAAAAACCGATTTGGAGTTTTTCGCAATACATTATTATGTTTTAGCTCATTTGTCTCATTTTTTAAATTTTTCAAATGTCAGTTTATAACCTAGAGTATAGGCAACAACAGAAAACTAGTTAAAATGAATAAATGATAGCTAATTGAATATATAGAATAAATTAAACATTTATTTTTACATTATGTTGATTAAATCTCTATTCACATTCTCTAGTATTATACCAAGCTATTATTCTTTTTATTAATAGTCTTACCATTGTTTTGAATCGACCTCTGATAGTCTAGCCCCAAGTCATCGATTGAGGAAGAGGTAAAAAATTAATTGTTACAAAACATAAGTATCCTTCATACTTTGTAAATTACAAATACTAGAAATCAATTCTTTAAGAAAAGAGAAGTTCGATGGTCTAAGTCGAAAGGGATTTACCCATTTTATCTTATCTTGTTGCCAAGGGATAAAATAGAGTTGTTTTTAGTCGTCTGATCAAATATTTCCTTTCGATTACGCTTTCTTTACACTATAATGATCAAGCTACAAACGAAAATATTTGTGTGATATCTGAAAATAGCCAAGAAACAGAGTCTTATAATTGGGCAAATTGAAGCTGTATTTACTATCGCCGTGGGTGATCAATAGAAAACAATACGACCGCTGTGTTACGTATGCTCGATCACCAATATTGTTCAGAAGAGCCTATACAACTCTGTTATTATTAATTAAATCATACATATAGTTTTTGGTGGGTTCGGAACACTTGTCAAGATTGCGAGCAAGATAATGCTTTTTTTTTTTTTTTTTTAAATATTTCTCCAACAGGGAGAAGAAAAGAAGAACAAATGGTACACAATATCAGTATAAGACCAACGTGACATAATTAATAAATAGATCACCGAATTTTTAAGGTTGAATCAAGATAATGTTGGAAAATGAAAATGAAAATGCATGTTATATGATTTTATTTAAAAAAATAGTCTATAAGGTACAAATTAAATTTCATTTGAAGTATCTTGATAAGAATGCATTAATAGAACATACAGATGATAAATGAATACCTACATCGCTAGAATGGTATGACGTGATATACGATACCTACTGGGAAAATCGGAAAAGGTCAAACATCAGCGCCTGTGTGTGTTTTTATCATTTTATTGGGGGAAATGAAAAACAGTGCGAGCGGGTGTGATCTATAGCGTTCACCAGGTTATCGTCATGTTCTGGTAAATAAAAAATTACCCGGGAATTAATTAGGGTAGAAATAGAACTGAGATGTCTCGATCAGAAATTGAAAGTGCGGTTAATTTCAATAATGAGGAACTTCTTGGCTAGTTAGATTCTCTTTTCCTTGTCTTTCCTATTTTGATTTTTGCAATAAAGTAGGCTAATTATTCTCTTGACATTAAAAAAAAAAGGTAACACCAATTAACTTCATTTTTATAGTCCCTGAAGATTTTAATTTGAACTCGGCTTGAACTTTTACGCGAAAAAAGAGGGTATTTTATTTTTTAACTTTTCATCGCTCGCTCTCTCTCTCCCCCCCCCCCCTCTCTCTCTCTCTCTCTCTCACTCTCTTCTTCACTCATCTCCCCCTCTCTCTATCTATCTGTCAATCTCTCTTCTATTCATAGCATCAGTCCATTTTTATAATTTTCCAATCTTTTATTGCTTAGCCTTCGACACGTTCACTATATCACTTTCTCCCTTCCTTTCTCTAGTCTCCAGTCAAATCATTACATTTTGTAATTGAGTGATATTTGTTATTAAAGACAGATATACATCTAGCCTATAGGCTATAGTTAATGTTTGATCGTGTTCATCATCATGTCAGGACTAAAATCAAGATGGAAACAAGGAAACGCTTGTGGACATCAAATAAAGTTTAAGATATGAAATCAGCAAAGTCAAATTCAGAATATGGAGATGTTACGCATGATAATGTTAACAGGTTTATAGCGGGGAAACATTAAGGTTATTTTTTTTTTTACTGAAATGTAACCGATGGTGAGCAGCCAAGGTATGATAGAGAATGTAAGAAATTTGGCTGATGAAAGATCACGTGCAAAAACAGAAAACATTGTGGAGAATCAAATGAAACAAATGCCAAACGGTGAACGGAGGAAGCAGTTGTTACGAATTGAATAGGCGACTAAAATGTAGAACTAGATCATAACCTTTCGAAATGTCATTCCATCCTGATTTTCAAAGCTCCATCGGAATCAGAATAAAGCACAAATGTATACCCATCAATGTTCTCCTTATCTTAGTTAATCGAACTCTTTGAGATGACGTCACCAGGTCGATGAGGTTTATCCGGGTTTGGGGTTTATTTTGAATTAAATTGACCTATTAAGGATTTTTTGGTTGTTTCTGTTTTGTTCCTAAGTTCTTTCCATTGGTAAGGTTATTGCCAGATCGAATGCTTTCACGACACCATTAAAGTTTGATCAGGTGGCGTGGCATTACATGAACAGGGGAGGGGGGGGTACTTGCATCATGGGAACATTAATCAGGGGGGAGGATGAGAGAGTGGTCTATCCTCTAATTCGTACATTCTTTTTTCCCCTCTATCTCCCCCTTCAACCTCCTCGTCAAGGGATCGAGGGACAGAAAGAACATGATGCTATGTTATGCTATATCAATAGAAGAGAGCGTCGGAAAAACAAGAAAAACAAGAAAAATGACTAAAAGATCAATAAGAAGAGAAAAATATATAGAGGGTGAGATAAGGAAATAGAGAGAGGGGAGAGGGGACATAGTTAGATTTTCACAGAAAGTGGGTCTGAGTGAGAGATAGGGAGACAGACAGACGGAGATACAGATAGATATATAATTATATAGAGAGAGAAAGAGAGAGAGAGAGAGAGAGAGAGAGATAGATAGAGCTAGAGAGAGAGGGGAAAAAGAGAGAAAGAGAGAGAGAGAGAGAGAGAGAGAGAGAGGGAGAGAGAGAAAGAGGGAGGGAGAGAGAGAGAGGACAGGAAGACACCCAGAAAGAGATATAAAACCTTATAGTTAAAGGCGGAGGTGGAGAGAAAAAGTATACAGAGATTAAGAGGGATATTAGATGGAGAGAGTTCAAAGAATTGCTTAAACGCTTTTCCTTGATAATAAAGATAATAATGTCAATTAAGGGATACCTTAACTTGCATACTACAAAATGTATACATTAAGAAACGTTAAAAAAACATCTTTGAACCATCTTTCCCACAAGGTCGGCAGTTTGTTGTTGCTTTTACAAATATGGCAAGAATTAGAAGTAAACTAATTATTAACTCTAACGTTGTCTTTATTATTAATGAGAATGTTTGGCTTTTGTGATGGAGTAAACCCGAAAATGGGGAACAAAAGGAGTGGAAGAGGAAGACTTTCTTGAGGTTTTTTGTCTTCCCTAATTGAAAACAACAGTGACACCCACACTGCAGAAACTCTTTGTACCCATTGTGGTTGGGACTGATTGCACATTTTACAACATAATTTGCAAATAGATATCACCGATATGACGTGAGCAGGTAACCTTGATGTGTGTTTGGTGTTCTTTGTGTGTGTGTGGGGGGGGGTGGGGCTGTGGGGGTACTAGGGTGTTCTTGCTTGTGAATGTAATTGTCGTGTGTTATTGGAACTTTTGGGGGGAGTGGATTGGGGCGGAGTGGTAGTGGGTTTTTTTTTGGGGGGGGGGGGGGGGAGTGGACAATAAGGGAGGGTTATCTTATAGCTGATATCATTCAACTTTTTCCGATCGTGATTTATGAATATTGTACATATATTATCACGTAAATTGAATTATGTTATTATGATGGAAAAAGAATAGTGTTTTGAAGAAAAAAGAAAATGTGTGTGTGTGTGCGTGTGTAATTTGGTTTTACAGACGTGTATCAATCAGATATGATTATTTATGTCTGGGGACCGGACTTAAACGTCTTCATCCTAAAGACGTGACTCGTTATCGAACCGGGGTCCGCCTGGGTCAAGGCGAAGAAAAAGACATGACCAAGTGAACGTACCGCTAGACCAACTCACATCTCCCTTGAATTTATCTGATTGAATGATTTCATTGTGCATTAAAAATTGTCTATGAGCATTAAAAACTACCAGCAAGGACATAATCATTATGATGGACTAAATATTATCTACCAGGAAATGGGGTACAGCTGCATGGCGTCACCAACAAAAATACGAGAATACACGGTTGGCACAATATAGATGAACAAATTGGTCAGGATTTTGTAAATAGTACATGTGCTGTTCAACCTGCAGAATTGATTACCGCCATTTACATTCTATCTGAAGATATTTTTTTTGTATTCAATTAATTTATTTCTCAAAACTCCAATTTCTTTTCGTACATAACACAGAAGCAAAGCATTTGCCATTGTCCTAGTTTATACAAAGTGAAATATGAAGGCCTTTTTTTTCGTAACGAATTTAAATACTTGCACAGGCCATTATCAATTCCGTGTAAATTATTGCTTTGTTAATTACTGGTTTGAAAGGCCTAAAGGCTCAATGTTTTTACAAACTTTCTTGAGGTCCAATGAAGGTCTGGAAAGTATGGCCCAGAAGTATGCATATGGCAATTACTATAAGACAAAGGCTTTCGGCATCCCACCAGGTCCACATTTCCTGGGTATGGAGTGGCAAATGTAGATTAATGTCTTGCCGTGTCGGGGATCGAACCCACGACCTTTGCGTTTCAAGTCAAGTGCTTAAACCACTCTACCACTCTACTCTCAACACATGGGTGTATGTGATTGTTTACTATGAATCCTATTATGAATATGAAATTAGAGAGCAGATTCGAAAGGGAATCAGTCGGAAGAGTAACTGACCAGATAAAACCCCTAAGACAACATACGCAGAGATTCGATATCACGATTTCATCTCTATTGTAAATACTTTTGACAAGGAAGAAAAGCCTCTTACTCAAACAAGACTGATGAAAGTTTATCCGTCACGTTTCAAGTAAAAGTATAATCACATCTTATTCGTTTAGCAGGGGTAATGTATTCACGCTTCTCTACTCATACTTTCATAATAGTGAAATATTTCCTTCCTCATTAAGATTACAAATCGCCCTACCAAACTACTTCATAATGCAATATTTGAACGTTGCACTACCATCAGAATAGGCTTTAGAAAAATGTAACCTTTGTCAACTCCGAAGTTACTCCACGGAATGCTTTAAAAAGACATGAGGAAAATGAAATGGAAAATGAATAAAAAATAGAAATCCCAGATTGATGATATAGAAGAAAACATAATCATCAGCATAATTCAATTTAGTGAAATAGCCTCACCTTTTGAACCGTCCTTGTATAACCATCCAATTCTTTAAGCAGTAGAAATCATGATCTATTGGACTTGTTGAAAGCTCTCGCTTTGTACCTCACCGTCTCTCAGCCAATCTGTCAACTTCCACGATTCCTCGACAAGACGAAGGGAAACTTAATGAAGTGATGCACTTAACATCTCCAGAAACCATTCGACATTCAAGCTCAAAAGATGGAGACGTACTAAGATGAGATTCTATGAAACCCAAAGAGGAGCTCGACCTGGTATCATCGTTATATACACACAAACACACCATGGAATGAAAATTGAGCGCCACCGTCGTCACAATCACGATGCTTACTTTTTGAAGTGAACTTGTGACGAGAGCGGTGGTTTTTATACTCCTGCTCGCATGTAGGCGGGTCGGTGAGTGTCGGTCAAACAAAGAATACAAAAAGTAAAAACACAGGTAGCTATTTTACTCACGCGCGGCGCCTCCCTTCCTACTCAGTAACGTTGGAGTGGATGATATTGATGACGTCAAGGTTAAGTGTTTTTAAAAAAACAAATTGTATAGATTCATTATCAGAAGGTAAAGGGCTCTTATAAAGCCATAGATTGTCCTTCCTTCTCTCTCCCCGAAGATCATTTTTGCACAAAACACATAGTAATGATTCACAGTAAAAAACAAAGAAAAGAAGTAGGGTTGTCTTTGGGGTTATCTTTTGAACACAATGCGTCTCTATTTGCTATCATGGAGAGACGGTTAGGTAATAATGATTTAAATTAGAATGACATCATTTTGTACATAGTACCCTTTAGAAAGAAAGAAATATAACATGACATCACTGCTTTGTAATTGCCCTTAGAAGCAGAAATTATACGATGAAAATAATGTACATCAGTGTTCAGCTATTAATTTGTCATCATTTTCCTGCATACGTCTCCATGTATGTATTTGTTTTTAACTTAATGATTTTATATATTTCATAAGGGAATTAACAAAAATGAAAAGAGCTATTCGTTTTCTATATGCGATCTCAGTACAGAGCTTTGGTTCTTAGTTATTAGTGATTTCTCCTTCTTCTTCTTCTTCTTCTTCTTCTTCTTCTCCTTCTTTTCTTCTTTTCTGCTTCTTTTTTTTTTCTTCTTCTTTTTCTTCTTCTTCTTCTTCTTCTTCTTCTTCTTCTTCTTCTTCTTCTTCTTCTTTTCGTCTTCTTCTCCTTCTTTTCTTCTTTTCTGCTTCTTTTTTCTCTTCTTTTTCTCATCGCATCAATCACTGTATGTAAATATCTTTGATAATATAGAATGTGCTTTTTGAAGGAAAATTCAAGCATCTAAGCTTTGTTATTTTAACAACAAGATTTTGGGGGGGCTCTTTTGGATTACAAACTCAAGATCCATTCATCATGAAGTTTGTCTTGGAAAGGCCATAGTTGTATCCTGCTATTATACAGGAACAAATTATGTATACCGTCCTTCTACCGAAAAACACACGTATTCTAAGCCAAACCGTGATTAAATTGTGGTGCAAATTTCAGCCAGGTTTCCAGGGCCACGCTACCCCGGCAAATTGATACATCTGAGCGTGCTCGCCTCAAAAGCGACGACGGGACGATATCGAATATGACGTCAATATGTAGGAATGGTAAAATAGAGATACTCGCTGACATGACACTATAAATGTTCACTCCTTCAGATAAACGAAAGAAAACAACCTGCCCCACTTATGAACTATTTATTGAAGGGACATGGTCCTCTATGTGGGTAAAAGCTTGCATCAATAGTGATAGCCCCAAGGAGTGAGAGCGACGATGAAAGGGGTGAGAGAAGGAGACGATAAACATTGGATGAGGGTTAACACGGATGAGGAGGGGGTGCGACTCTGGGTGGGTGTACTGCCACATTTAATGTTATCCCTGTGCGTACTTCTTCATGTAGGTGAAAGCAAGGAGCTCATTTAGTATCTCCTTGGCGAGAGGTATCACCTCTTACGTTGTCTATCTCATACCTAAGGTGTGCAGATATTGCTTCGATAACATCCTTTTAAGCATAAAATGCGTACAAAGTCTTGAATTGTTATCCGGCCTTAGATAAGTGTTTTTAGTATCAACATTTTTCTTTAATAATTCCTATAATACCTATTTATATTTATTTAAATCATAAAAACAAGCACCAAAAAAAATATATATATGTGGTAGAACATCATTATCCAATGTCAATGGTCACATGATATCTTGGATTACTGACCAATACCGGTATGCCCAACATATTTAACATGTTAATGTCGATGATTTTGTATAGACTTCTTGTAGGTTAAAATATTGAAAGTTTTTTTTTTTTTAATCTTAAGATGATCTAAGGTCATCCAAATTAGATTAGAGTAACACATATAGTATTTGTTACGAGCCATGATTGTCTAGATAGACGGCGCTTTAGAAATGCCCAATATTATCATTAATTATTATTATTATCAACAGTGCATAACAGCGAATTGGGAATGATGGAGCTTTTAATGAAAGTTCAAATCTTTTACTGAAATCTCATGATCCTTTTCCATTCCCTTCGTTCTAATTATTTCCAACAGGTTGTCAGTAAAGGGGTTAAGTTTGGTCTGTAGGGTAATAGACTTTCTGAGATACAGCCCTTGTACACGGAGATGTTAATATGCCGGGGTGCATTTTCAGAGACAAGGCGCCCATTTAAGATGGATAAGAGTCTTGGAATTACTCATTTTTCCTTCTATTGTTTTTATACAGATTACGATGAATTTTATTAAGTAATTGTTTCTTCCTTGTATAATTTCCACACACAAAATCCCACCATCATGAGTCGTAGCGTAAAGCAATTTCCTGCCCTATCCGCAAGCGAGTGCATTAATGTGGAAATTAAAAACTCGGACTTTGCGTTTCAGCTGACAGCCACATTCATTGAGCTCATTTCATTTTGAACTCGAGCAAACGTCTTACAAACCCACTGTGCCTCTTGACTTAATTTGATTTTTCGTAGAAGGTACTACAAATCTGAAGAGGGAACAAAATGATGAAAGAAATGTTAGCTCTTCAAAATAAGAGCACCTGACATCGTGTGCGGGGTGAGAAGAGGGTATAAGGCAGTATTAGAAATAAACCATTACAAGAGGAGTGTCTAATGTATGAAAGAAAAATTAAAAATCAATTAAAAGACAGTGAGGGGGAGAGAGAGAGAGAGAGAAAGAGAGATTGATCATATAATAGCACCTTAGATCAAGACCTTTCGGATGGCATGAAGGATGTAGAGTAAATATGGAAATGAGAAAAATAACGAAATCAAAGATGAACATTTTTATTTCAATATACTGGCATGCTTCAAGTATAAGAGTGAATTATGGATGTTCCAATGTTTAGAGAAGCACTTATCGAGATAGCTGAAGCGGGTTTAGTTTCATGATGAAAAAAGCAATACTATTCGCTCCAATTGATACGCGTGTTTGTAGGTCAATATATGGGCATGTATTTGTGAAAAGTATTTCTATGATGAAAAGTCAATGCCCCCTCCCCTCCCCTTCCCACCATTACCACACCACCACCACCTTTACCATTTCCGGCGCCAATGTTGTGGCGAGGGCTACAATTTGTTTCTTCTGTCTAAGCCACACGTCAATCAACAATGTAATCACAAGCGACTCTTTTCGCTTATTTTATAGATTAAAAAACACAATGATCTTTGTATTCGTATCATTGTCTTGTTTGTTTTTCCCTTTCATTTTTTCTGTTGGTTTACACTCTCACATCAGTTAACACTTCAAAGGTGAAATTCTTCGCCTTTGAATTATAAAATAGATTGTCTGTACCTTCTGTATTTTTCTTTTGTTCCATTGATACAGTTATAATTCACCACCAGTAATCGCTATCGTCATATTCATCATTAGTCTTAGAACCACGATCCTATTAAAATTAATTTATTTCATCTAATCAGTTATTACTATCACAACTATATCTCCATATGATTTGTATTAACGTTACGGTTTATAAAAAAAAATACCCATTTCACTGCTCGACTGTGACATTTTGAACCCGAGTATTTGCCTCACCTATAATCGAAGAGGTCTGTGGATTGGCAGCTTTTATTTTCTGCAGCATTTAATCTTTCCTGTTAGCAGTGTGCAAACGTACTTTTTCTACAGTGGCATGAATCTACCTTCGGGCAATAAACGATGTGCCAATTTAGCAGATACGCGTCGTCTGAACGATACATACTCTTAAGTGGTTTTACTCAGTAAGTTGTTGGATTAGGCAGAGTGAGTGAGTGGGTGGGTGGTGTTAGAACGTGCGTGTTCTGTCATCTCTTCATTCAAAAATTATACTCCGTCGTCAACATAACTTCACACAAAACTAATGTCATGAACCCCACTTTTTCCTCGGTCAATCTATATGGTCTATCTGAACGAAATATACAATATCTGAGTCTATACGTGACCGGCATAAAGTTTGGTGAATTTTAGAGCAAAGTGACATTTAATATCAAGATGGTAAGATTGGAAAATAAAACCCCCGTCCACGCAACTGCAAACGCAATGAGCATTTAATAACAACGGGGGGGGGGGGGGGGGGGGGCCTTTCACAAAACCTGTCATTAGTGACAAATGACCAATTTGTATTATAAACTACTAACATCCTTTCCTCTGATTGGATATCAGCAGATTTGTCACTGATTTTTGTTACTTGTCATTGAAAAAAGGGCTTTGTGAACCGCCCCCTGGAATGGTAAATAAGTTACCTAGGAGTATAATTAACTATACACTCCTTATCCTTTGATTTAAAAGTTTTAATTGAGTTTTTTCACGGAGACGGTAATCGCGAAGTACGTTGTCATGGTAACACATCTACAGTGAAAAAGCGCGCGCTATCGCTATATCTGTCCAAAAAGGAAAAAAAACGAAAACTTCGCTACATGTCTACATAAAATATATTTCTTAATTTAAAAAAAATTACATCATCAGACAAATTGAAAATCAAGGTTTTAAGTGATATATTTTTATTCCAATGTTATTGCAAAATCTAGGTAAATCACGTTGTTATTGTCAATACATGTTCAGCAAATCGACCTTATTTTGTACATTCATCTTCACGGCCGATCACGTACTTGTAGCAAGATCGCGCGCCTTTTTTTTTTTTGGCGAGAAGACTTCCGGTTTCTACCCCGCGAGCGTTTAGAACTCCGGATGCCTCCGGAGGTTTTGCCGTGTGGTGCTAGACCGTCTGACTTTTACCTCACGTTTACCTCGTGTTTGCGCTTTGTCCTTTGTGCCACCAGCGTTTAGATCTACAGTGGACAAGGAACCACACATAGATCTAAACGGGGAATTCATGTCACTCTTTTAAAGAAAGGAATTGCTTCGCATCACCCCAAATCCAAATT